CCACCTCACCAGCAGCAAGGAGTGCTTCAATTACAGGGTAAGCAGGTGCAGAATGATGGTTGAATGTGCCTCTGGTCATTTGAAGAGTTGCTGGTGTTGTCTACTTACGAGATTGAACCTCAGTGAAAAAAAAATCCCAATGGTTATAGCTGCCTCCTGTGTCCTGCATAATATCTGTGAAACAAAGGAGGAAAAGTTTCTGCCAGGATGGCGGTGGAGCGGCTCTCTACTGAATTTGAACAGCCAGATTCAAGGGCTATTAGAAGAGCTCAGTGCAGAGCTATACGGCTCAGGGAGGCTTTGAAAGCCCCTTTTAATAGTGAGCCTGAGTAATGTGTCAGTACTGGTTGTGGACTCCTAGGCTGAAGAGCCCATTTCCAAAAAGGGGTAACAGTCAGTTCCCAGGCAGTGTCCCAAAGAGGCCAAGGAAGGGACCAATGCTGCAGCCTGCTGAGGGATCCAGAGAAGAGAGGCTTGGATTCTCCCTCACAGCAAACCTAATGGGTGGGCTGGAGGAGACGGTCGCTAGGATCTGTGGCTTATAGACTGATGAGTACTGAGTTTGCCTTCTTGAGAGATCACAGCTATCTAGTCCTCCCTGTAGATACCTCAGTAGAGGCCTCCGCTTTAGATACAGCTTAAATAGTCATTGTAATAAAAGTAAGTATATATATACAAAGGGTAAATGCAATTCATAGGACTCAAGCATGGGCCAGATTCTTAGCTTTGCTCCATTGACTTCAATGGGGCTATGCTGACTTACGCCAGCTGAGGATCTAGCCCAATATCTGTATTTATATTTGGTAGGCTAAAAGAGGGATATCTATTCTCATGCTTTGGGGCGTAAGATGACCACCAGAGGAGGTCAGGAAGTAATTTCCCCCTATGGTTTAAGGTAACATTTGGACAGGTGCATTATGGGTTTCCTCACCCCCTGGTGACACATCCAGCTGAGGCCACTGTCAAGGACAAGATGGAACCAATGCCCAATATGGCAATTCCTTGTAAAGTTAAAATGTCTGAAGATGAGAACGCTGACTGGCTACTGCTCTCCAGTACTGAGTAGGAGACCTGGGTTCTAATCCCAACCTCCAGCTCCTCTGGCCGCGAACACGAGTAAGACAATGATGTATTCTCATGGTAGAGAGCAATGCCTTCAGTTTCTCAGTGTAGTGACTCCTTCATCCTACTGCTGATTAGATAGTCTTGAATGGCCTCTGCTCAGTTCGTTGGCTCAGAGCTAACTGACTGATTCCAAGGAGTAGCTGGCCACTTGGGCCTGCTGAAGAAAATCATGGGGAGTTGGCTTAGGAGCTCATGCTGCCCAGCCTATGACGGGGAGCAGTTCCAGGCCCTGTTCTTACTACAGCTTTTAACAGAGTGTAACCAGCTGCTGCATGGTTGAGTCCAAACATGGTTTGCATTCACCCACAATAGGATTAACACTCTATTAGTAATCATGATGGCTAGCGGTGCGTTAGCTCCACAGATGGCTACACCGACACATGGTACCTTCCTGTAATTGGTCCAGCAAGCTGTCTATTTACAGACAGGACCCCGTAACTGTGCCCTGTAACCAAGTTGCCAGGTCCCCCACCCTCACCCTCTTTTTGTGGTAGGGCATCCCAGCATGCATTGCTCCAGGTGCTGCTGCTCTGAGCACCCTTTCTCACGCTGAAGCCCTGACCACATGTTCCCAGAATGCAGTAATGCAAGAAGGGTTAGACTGTAGTAGGGGTGGGAGTACAAAGGGCAGGTGTGCTATGACAAAAAGGCTGTTTCTCTGACATTATTCAACAACGCTGAGTGTAACAGGGTCAGATGAGTGTGTTATGAGCTGGCTACAAACATATGGTTCTGCTTGAACTGTAGAAGAACCTGGGGATGCAGAAGGAGACAGAAATAGACCTT